GCGAGCCAGGAGTGTCCCTGCTTGGGTCCTGCCCAGCATCCCACGCCGGCAGCAGCTCCCACCATGCCCTTGGGCTCAGTCCAGGCACGCGGTAGGTCTGAACTAACTGGTGGCTGCAGCCGGTGGCATGAAGGCTGGTGCCCAGGCTGGGACTCTGTCACTCCAAGCAGCACCCAGCATCCCCGCGATTAGAGAGAGCCATCCGCCTCTCCCGTGTCACGCTCCGCCCTGTGTGTTCCTGACCTGGTGACTGCTGGGCCAGATGCAAGTGAGCGCTCCGCCATGGCAGCTCCTTCGTAACCGCCCCTGCTGGCCCCTGCCCTGCGCCGCCACCGGACCCTGGCTGGCCTCACAGGGAACCTTCGATTCTGTGTCCATTTCACAGATGGGCCCTCAGAGGGAGGGAGGGATTCACCCAAGGACCCTGGTGGGGTCACGCATGGCGGGGGGCCCCAGGTCTCAGTCTCCTGAGCCCAGAGGCCATGAAGCCCTCACCTTCCCCAGAGCAGCCATGACCACCCCCAGCCCGGTCATTTTCGGGCCTTGCCTGTGGCTGGTGGGGTTCACACAGACACCCCTGAGTCCCTGTGTTGCTGGAAGATTGGGGTCCCATAGAGCTGCAGCACGGGGGACCCAGATCAGTTAAAATGTGGTTGGGCCCTGGCAGGGGCCCCTCCAGGCCAGGTGCGAGGGCAGCACTGGGATTCTGGGCGTGAGCATCTCAGCTTTGTGATCGACAGACCCCGTCCCAGGCCAGGAGCACGCCCTGCAGCTCGGCGTTTCCCGGGGCCACCCGCACGCCCTGCAGCTCGGCGTTTCCTGGGGCCACCCGCACGCCCTGCAGCTTGGTTTCCTGGCAGCCTCCATCCCAGCGGGCCGGGCTAGTGGGGACTTTACTGCCTCTTCCTGGGAGCCTGCCTGAGCCCTCAGGTAAAGCTGAGGCTCGAGGCCTTTCCCTAAGTCACCAGCCACCCAGGTGGGTCACTGCAGAGACTGCGGTCAGCCAGGCCTGGACCCCTTGCGGCCTCTAGCTGCCCGCCCTAGCACTGACACGTCCCCACCCCGGCCCTTGGCAAGGTCCGCCTGTCCGCAATGCCTGCCCCCTTTCCCATGGGTTCACTCAAGAGCTCACCTGTGCATGACCTCTGACCCTTGTCCCATTTGGGGTTAAGAAACAGGCACAGACAAGCGTGATGAGGTCACTTGTGGGCGAGTGGTAGAACCAGGACTTGAACCTGGTCACCTGACCACAACGTCCACGGTCTTGGCCCCTCCCTGGGTTGCTGTGGTCGGTCCTGTGCCCCAGTGATGCCACCAGTCACAGCCACATTCTCCAGTAAGGAAACCGAGACTTCCGACCCCCCCGGGAACTCCAGGTTTGACCACAATGACTGGCCAGGTGAGTGGGCATGGAGGTCTGGGGTAGCGCTCCCCTGCTGGGGCTGGGAGGCCGCAAGGAAAGGGGCTAGCCCACGATCCCACAGAGCTCTGGGGTGGAGGCCACTGACCGTCCCAGTTCCAAGGCGAGGAGGGAATGCGATGTGCTTGAGGTCACAGTCCAGCCCTGGGGAGCTGGGGCTTGACTCTGGGTCTGCACCCCAAGGCCCTTGCCCCCAGCTTGGGGTCCCCTGCTTTCTCGTCTTCCTGCGCCTCCCTCGGGCTGGCAAGAGCCGGTGTCAGAAGCCAGTGCCAGGAGCAGGGCTGCCCAGGGAGGGTCCTGGCTAAGTGGGTGTGGGCAGCGTTGGTAGAGGTAGGAACCCTTCTCCATTTTCATTCTCCTTTCCAGGTCTTGGGGCTCCCCTTCTTCAGCCTCAGCCTCAGCCTCCCTCCTTGCCCCACTGAGACACGAAGCCTGGGTCCTGGAGAAGCCCGGCCGCTCCCTCCTCCCTTGGGAGGCAGCACCTCCACTGTTCCCCGCAACTGGGCTTTAATGACCCACCTGGTTACAGGTGTCCTGGGGCTCTGAGGGGGGAGGGGCTGCCCAACAGGAAGCTGTGACTGTCCTGCCCCTACAGGCTGGTGAGGGTCCCACGTGACTCCCGCATAGCCTGTCCGCTAGGCCTCACAGCCCAGGTCTTTAGCCCTTACTGGGGTCCCTCCTGCCTCTCCACCCTCACTGCTGTGCAGGTACTGCAGATCCCCACGGTGACGGTGACGGTGCTGTCATGAGCCAGCGGCGGTGTGGCGCTGGCCTGCCTCTTGGCCTGACCACGCACATCTCAGCAGCTGGTCACATCTCCTTGCTGATCCGTAGTTCCTGACCTGGCAAGTGTGGAGCAGGGGAACCGTCACCTCAAGTCTAAAAAAATAAGTTGCCCAACAGCATGTGCTAGAGAGAAGTGAGAAATCACCCCCAGCGATCACGCCGCCATCCCGTCTCCACCTCCCTCCTTTCAGGATTCCAGGCACACACGTACACACGCTATTTCTCCAGCTGCCGGGCCCAGGACTTGAACTGTGTGGTCGGCCATGTGGGATCCAGCCGCCTTAACCACCAGGTCACCGGCTAGCCCACTCCCATGAGGACAAGGCACGGTCTCCAGACAGGGAACGGGGCTGTGGGGGGCGCGCTGGTCCCAGGCCCCTGCCGGGAGTGATATAGGACACAGTTGCTGGCCGGGCTCAGAGCTGTGGGGAGGGATGGGCGTGCAGAGAGGACCACACAGTGTTACGTGGGGCCAGGCCACAGAGCTGTGGCAAGGTCGGGGCGCAGGGGTCAGTGCAGGTCAGTGAAGGAGAGCAAGCTGGCCGGCGAGGGTCAGTGCGGAACTGGGCGGCAGATGGCTGCCATCACCAGAGGCCCAAGCAGCGGCCAAGGACTCCGGTGTGGAACCTGAACTTTGCCCTGAGGGGGGCACATGCCCTAAGACAAAAACCTCTGAGAAAAATTTTGTTTTCTCCAGAAGCAGAGCAGTTCCTGCCAAGATTGGCAAACAGAAACCGCCCGAAGGCAGGCCAGGCTCAGCGCGACCTTGAAACATCGAAGCCATCCCAAGAAGGGACTCAGAGGTCATCTAATTCAGCGCCTCCATTTCCAGATGAGCAAACTGAGGTCCCGAGAGGCATTGCTGTTCAGCCACAAGGCTGCCGGCTGTGCAGGGCGGAGCCTGTGACGGACAGTGCCCGGCGTGGAGGCGACCCTCTAAGCCCTGATGGCTGACCTCTATGGTGGACGATGGTGGGGCCTGCCAGAGGCTGCCCGTGCCGCTGTGTGCCCGGTTTGTGTTTGTGAAGGGCACGTACAGGCACATGAACACGTGAGCCCAAAATTCTGAGAGCAGAATGGAGAAGGGACTGCAGCATGGCCATATCCCTGGGGGGGGATTGAAAAAAAAGGGGTATGGTGAACTAGATGGTGGCACAGCAGTGACACAACTGGACCACTTGGGAGGGTGAGGGTTCATGTCCTGGCGCCTCCCTGTACAGCCTGGGTGCACATGCGTACGCCAACGATCCAGGCTGGCTGAGGCTGGATCATAGCATGAGGCCCCCGCTTAGGGGTCCCTGTCTGTCTCTTTCTCTCATAGAAACATTAACTAACTTAAAAAAAAATCTAGGTGGGAGACTGGGGTTGAGGACAGCCTGAATTTAAAGTCTTGATATTTAGTGGGTGTGGGTGGTGATTACTCAGGGAGCCCTTCAAGTTTTCCTTAAACTGGATGGATGAGTTTTATGAAGGGGGTGGTGCTGATTTCAGTGTCGCCCGGAGTGAAGAGGGCCTGTCTTGTCAGCAACGTGGGAGGCCCTCTGTGCATTTCAGAGACACTGTGTGTCCCGTCCCCTGCCGGTCAGTCACCACCCAGAAGATTCACTATAGAGTCACAGTTTTCAGTACTCAAGACTTTAGGAATTCAAAGCAATATGCAAAAGAGAATATTTATATGCCTTTTATTTTAATGTCATTTTAATACTGAATATGTCACAAGATTTAATGACCAAATCAGTCATTTACATTTTGCAAAGATATCTAAATATAAAATTGCTAAAAATTCAAATACAGATAGCAAGCTACAAATCCGAGTCCTCTCGCGTCTGGGATGCGAGGCCTGGAAGACATTAGAAAAGGACGCTCCTTAGGCTGGGCAGAGGTCAGAGCGAGAAGTCCGCTCGCCTGCGAGGTGACACCTCCTGTACGGCTGTTTAAAAAAGCCTTTTAAGTACAGGTCCTCCATGAAATGTCTGGTTCTTGGTCCTGGCCAGGGACACTCCAAAAGGATGTCACCATGGTTAGGGACACTGAAGAGGTTGATGAGAACTGGAGGCATCTGTTGTGGCCAGAGGTGTGGAGCCACTGGTGTCCCAGCCAGGGAGTGGGATGGCAGGGCCGGAGGCTCCTCTCTGCCTGCTCCTGCCCTGGCACGGTGACAATGCTGGAAGCTTTACCAGCCTGGGGGCTGGCACCAGAAGGAGAGGAAAGGGAAACGAGGCCCCCCCAGAGCCTGCGAAGCAGATCATTCCAGTTCCGGGCAAACCCACGGCCGGTCCCATGGAGCGGCCGTTCACACTTGCCATTTAAGGGATGAACAGGACCATCCCTAGGGGGCTCGGCCTGGCATGAATGACTGCCCACCACCCAGAACCCACGCCTCACACGTGCTTTTGCGTCTCTGGATTGGACACATAGAGTAGAAAGGTTTCTAACAGGGAAAACGACGCGGCCTTGGACGCACGACGCGAGGCCGCGCCTCACTTTCAGGAAGACATGATCCTCAAGGCAAATGCCTCGCTTACACGAATGGCAGAGCTAGCACTACTGACTAAGCCCTGAACACTTCTGAGAAATCGAACCACCGCTAAAAAAAAATCAATATGGGAACAGATCTTAAGGAGAATAACATAATCAATCCTCCGCCCCAAAGAATGGTCCATCATACCAACCATGATAAAGAGTACACCTGTTTATTAAAAGGAAAAAAAATGTACATTTTTGTTCTTCATTTGCTTTAAGAAATTTGATCAAGTTGCGAGGAAACGTCTGGGCACGGCTATGTACACCCGGGCAGGTCATCGGGCAGTGAAGGCAGCAGGGCTGCGCGGCTCCCCGTGGGTGCTCTGGCCCCAGGCACTGCAAGTCACAGCCACTGCCAGGCAGGCGTGGCCTGTGGCAATGTCCCCAGAGCTCCGTCCTAGGGTGCCCCTTTCCCGTGCCGCACCTGCCCGGAGAGCCCACCAGCCCTGCGTCCTGAGCTTGGGGCTGGCCTCCCCCAGCCGCAGGACGGGCTCCAGGCCACCTGGCCCCGGCAGGCTGGCGCTGAGTGACAGCAACAGACAGGCTGGCGCCAGTGTCACTGCTGCCCTGACTTCTTCTCCTTCTGGAAGCTGAAGCTCGTACGTCTGTTCAGTTTTCTTTGTTTTTGAGCAAAGTACTCAGCCCGGGCAGTGCTGGCTCGTGATTCCAGAATGTAGTTAACCTAGAAACAAAAGACACACCTGGTCACTTGCCAGCCGCATCCTACTTGCCCAGGCACAGAGCAGGGTGCTGGGGAGGGCCCTGAGCTGGGCCAGGGCTGTCCGGCCAGGGGCTCTCGCTGCCAGAGTCCAGGCAGTGCAGTAACCTGGCAGGCTGGGCCCAGTGCCCTGGCTGCAGAGATGGGGAACGGAGGCCTGGGGGCCCGGCCTGCAGCCCCTCACGTCCGTGAGCAGCAGGGTATTGGTGACTCCTGACTTCTGCCCCTCTGTGCACAAGTTGCTCCAGGGCTGTGCATGGGACTTCTGGTCCCGCTCCCTCCTGCCCTGCACCCTGAGCTGACCCATGGCCTCCTCAGTCCTCACTCTCCTGGTCTAACGGACAGCCCCAGGGGTGAAAGTGAGCCACACAAGGCGGGGGGTTCGGCCTCCACCAGCCAGGCACGGGCCACCCCTCTATACTAGGGTACCCACCAGCCAGGGTCCCAGTGACAGAAAGGAGAGGGAGGTTCAGGAAGGAGGGCCAAGGTCCCCGGAGGCCTGGGTCGAAGCTGGCGAGGGGCCAGGGAAGCCCTGAGCGCGGAGCGCTGCGGGATGTGTCTGCCCTGGGGGTCTTCAGGGCGCATGTGTGTCCACCCCACTCTGGGTGGTGGCTCACACACAGGCTTTCACCGGCACCTTCATGAACAACTGCCACATCTGAGCCTGGCCCCAGACTGGGTTCAAGGGACAGAGGGACAGGAAAGGCTTGGACCTGCCCCGAGGAGCTCCCCACCCAGTGAGTGGCTGACAGCCGGACGGGGCCACAGAGGCACAGGGGGCAGGGAAGTGTGTGGGCGCCATCCAGGGAGCGCGGGGCAGGAAGGCTCGCAGAGGGGTAAATGAGCTGGGTTTTGAAGGATGCACCAGACTTTCTGGGTGTCTAAGGGGTAGGAGAAAACAGTATGCACCGGGGCACAGCAGTGGGACACAGGGGTGGCCGTGGACCTGCAGAAGCCCTGAGCGGCTTAGTGAGGTGGGGAGGAGCCGGGGAAGGCTGTTGCCTCAGATGGGGCCGTGCAGAGGACAGGACATTTATTTTGTCAGGGATACAATCGGGGCTACCAGCCAGGCCCTGCTTAGTGCTTTTCAGGACTGACCGATGTAAGCTCCCGATGATCCTACGAGGGGATGCCACTCTCCCCCGCTGTGAAGTGCGACAGTGCTACTCCAGAATGGCAAGGTCACTTAGTCAAGGTTCCAGTGCTGCTCAGTGTCAGAGTCCTGCACACCGCCCGGCTCTCCAGGCCTGGCCACTCGCACCATCACTTCCCCTTAAATAGTTCATTTATTTATTTTTTGATTTGCCGTAAAGTTTACATGCTTGCAAGCAAAAGACACGGAGACTGAGAGAGAAAGCGAGGAAGTCAGGCCACAACCTTCTCCATCTCCCCTCTTGGGACCTGGGGCATGTGCGCACACACGCCTGGTATGTGTCTCAAGCCCCTGGGTGTGGACTCGAACTGCACAGTTGGCCATGTGGGATCCAGCCACCTCAACCACCATGCCACAGGCTGCTCTACCCGTAAGTATCTCTAAGTTGTAACTAGAAACCAATCACCACCTCTGTTGATTCCGCTCTACGTCCTGAGCCCAGAGGGAGAGAGGCCTGCTGATTCCCGGACGAAGTCAGATAGACGGCTCTCAGAGGAGGCGGTCTGAGACGCACGCCTTGCGTGGGGCTGCATCTCTGCCACCGTCCCTCCAACTTTCTGCTCTGATAGTCGCCAGCAGCAGGCATCCCAGGCTGGCGTGTGCGCACAGACGGCCTGACATGCTCGGCCCACTGCCTCGCCAAGTTACCAGCTGAGAGCGATAAATCATGAGGACCGCGGGGCAGGGCGACGGTTTGGGACGCTGCGCTGTGCGGAAGTGAGAGGGTTTTGCATTCCTGAGGCGAGCACTGACTGGATTCTACCGGGGCCAACGCAGCCAACCTGGTGTCTGCAGTGCATTCTTGGCACATATCATTTGACAAAAGCATTTAAAAATGATCTTAACAAGACAACTATTTCCTAAATTTATTATCTTCAGTGCTTTGTGATAATCACAGAGATAATTTTAATGGAAGATTAATGCAATAATCAAAAGATGAAAACGCCCTTTGGTCCGCCATCAGCTGGTTAATACTCTGTGGCTTAAAACTTGCACGATTTTATGCACTACGGAGTGTTTCGCTTTCGATGCATTTTATGGCTTATGGCATAAAAATATAGGGAGTTTTCATGGTCAATAAAGCCACAGCCTCCATCGCTCGATCACGAGAAGAACCCGATTTGAAGAGTCCAATGATCCCTCTGAGATTCAGCCTGGAGCTGTGGAATCCGGGGCTGCACGTGGCTCAGCTCAATCACAGCACCTCAGTGGGAAGGGGCAGCTTGGGAGCTCCACATGCTGGGCTCAAGTCGAGGCTCCACCCTCACGTGCTCTGTGGCCTTGGGCCTCCATCTCCTCATCCATAAAATGGGGACAGTGCCTCTGTGCAGGGCGGTTGGGAAGATAAAGGGGGAGAACGTACACAGGTGTCTTGCAGGCAGTCAGAGCTCCATAAACAAGGGGCATTAACGTTCTACAAGTGGAAAAAGATGTTGAGAATGACTTGAGGGAGAGTCGCCTGTTGCACCGGCTGCTTTGAAAGCAGCCTCGCCCACAGCTGCTCCCTTCTATTTCCATCTGAAACTCTCCTGTTACAGAGCAGCCACGTGCGTCCTTGGGCCTAAGACTAACGCCCGGAGAGCCCATGATGACAACAACACTTCTCCAAATTCCTGGACACGGGGCTGAGACCTCCCTCACTTGGTATTGGTGCAAAGCTCACAAAGATGCTCACAAAGATGCTGTCACGATGCTACAGAATGGAGGAAAAAGCTAAGCATTTAGGCCCAGTCCAGTGCTGTGGCCTGCTAGGACACTGTGCTCCATAGGCTGGGACCACAGGGTTTGATTCCAGGTCCAACGTGGTGTGTGCCTGTAATCAAAGTGGGAGACAGAGGCAGAACTACAGAATGGCGAGACCTTGACCTTAAACAAACAAAAACCAACCAACCAAACAAAAACCAAACGAACAAAAAAACAACCTAAGTATTTAAGTTGCAATCAAAACCAGGGAGAGGAGAAGTGAAATTTAATCTTTCACCAGGACCACAATCATTAGCTCTCTAAGTAAATCAGAGACCCTGTTACTCTTCTGGATCATGCATGATGCGGTAGTTTCACAATCGGTTTGATATGAAAACAGACATTTTAGGGAGGACGACAGGTCTGAGGGATTTTTCAGAAAAGCATCTGCTTCAAGGGAGCATTTGGTCCTGTAAAATGATTTCTCTGCACTTGATCTTCCACAGTCTCATATTGAAGTCATAAACCTGTGTTTCTGCCATCAATCTGCTGTTGTGAAAATTATTTTGATGTCAAACACAGGATTATAATTTTACTAGAATCCTTCTCAAGTCTTGAATATTTTAATGCTGGCTATAAAAAAAAAGCCCAGCCCCTGACGGGGTAATAGAAGGTTTCTCTGCCTCGTCCCCCAACCCGTGCTCAAGTCCCCGTCTGTCTCCTAATGAGCCAGTGAGTGACTCCTGGCTGGGTGGATGTGAGCCCTCGTGCAGACCCTCGCGCCCGCTCCCTGGTCCAGGGGCTCTGACCCGGGCGGTTATGAACCTTTGACCTCCAATCCACCCAAACTTGATAAGCCCTGGGCCCACTGTCCTCTAGCAGCTCCCCTCTACACATCATCTACTGCTTTTGAAAATCTTTTGCAGTGAAGGGACTTGTCTCGAAACACTACTGGAAAGCAATCCCATTGTGCTGAAGTCTCCCACTGGGCTCCCTCAGACTGTGCACAGCTGGGGATTAGGCACACGAATCCTGGAACATGCCAATTCAGACTCAGGGCCGGCTCTGCTGACTTACCAGAGTCGTGATCCTGGCTACGTTACTTGTTTCTCTGGTTCTCCCGTGTCATCTAGTAAATGGGAAGTCTGCTCTCACAGCCTCACCGACTTGTGAAGAGTTGACACAGCAGGACACATGAAGCATTTAGGCCAGGCCCTGCACGTCGCCACTTGGCCTGTCTTAGCTACTCTGTTATCATTACTTGACGATCTCTGCGCTAAGGGACAGCATCGTGAACAGCGTAGGTCGGCCGTATCTTATGTGACTTGCACTCCAGGGACCTGTGGTGGGGTGGGGCAGTGAAGGCACCGTGATTCCCATTTTACAAGTGGGGAGACTGAGGCCCAGAAAGTCATGTGACTAGCCGGAGTGGCACAACCAGGGGTGGGGCAGCCCCTCTGCTTCTAAGCTCTGCTCTGCCAGTGCAGTTCTGTTGCTTTCTATCTGATTAATTGACTTACGATTTGGCTTGAAGAAAGGGTTCCATTTGGAAGAGTCTGAGAGCCTTCAGCCCAGGGCAGCTCAGAGTGCCGCAGAGACCACGGCCTGGGCAGCTGCCAGTGCTGCTGAGGGACACACATTCGCAGGCCTGCCCAGGCCCCTAGAAATAACAGGATCCCGGGCCCTGACACCAAGTAGAGCTTGTCCAAGCGGGGTCCCCTGCAGGGTCTGGCCTGTCCCTCAGGCTTACCCCTGGTCACCTCAGCGTCCACACAGGCTGCCTGTCTCCTTACCTGACCCGTGCGCTTTCGTCTGCCCTCCGGGGTCCAGCTCCCCCTGGCCTCACTCTCGTTTACCTTCACACCCACATGGCAGCCCTGTGACTGCTCGTCGGCCTCTTGGGGACTTTCCGTGCTGTGACTGTCCCCTGGATGGAGGAGCCCTGGATGGAGGAAGTGGGCCTGAGGCAGGGCCAGATCTGTCACTGGCCTTGTAGGCCCAAGCCTCACAGAGGAGCCCAGTGGGTGCTGCCCAGCTGCGGCGACGAGCAGCTCTAGTGTGAGGCCGGGCGTGCCCGAGCAGCCGGGAGAATCGGCTGGAGGGGAGTCGGTGTCTCCCCAGCACCGAGCTTCCTCAGTCTGCTCCAGGACCTCGAGATGCCTGACAATGGCGCACACGGTGGGTAAACACACCCAGGAGGAACCGACGCCTGGGCTGGGGGAAGGCCACAGGGGCGCAGAGCAGTGGGCCTGAGGCAGCGTGACCCTGGCACACCACCCAGCCTTGTGACCAGGAAGCTGCTCCTCTGCCGAACTGGCCAGAAACAGGACGAGCAGAAGCCGGGCCCGCCCCCGGCCTGGCAAGAGGGAACACTCACCTTGAGCACGATCTCGTTGACGGTAGCAGCGTCAGATTCGAAGTAGAGGTGTTTGTAGTCGTGATTGCTTAGATACGTGAGTTTGAATATTGCGTGACCTGCAGGGAGAGGGAAGGCATGTGAGTGGGCTGGGGAGGACCTGGGGAGGCTATGGACCCTCCTGACCAGCCCATGCCATGCCCCGAAAGAGCAAGAGGGGCCGGGCAAGCTCTTTCCAGGAGGGGCCATTTTCTCACCTCAGGCTGGAGATAGAAAGGACAGTAAAAGGCAAGACAGAAGATCAAACGGCCTGCTAGGCCCACTGCTGGAGCGCATCTGGGGACGCAGCATCAGGAAGGCTTTAGGTAATCATCACATGGCAAGGTGCTATTTTTAAGGCAGGTCAATTAACCCCAAGTTATTCCTCTAAAGACCAAATGACAGTGCTCACAGTGAAGTACGTGGGCAGTGTGAGGAGGCAAGTGCTCACAGTCAGGTGAGTGCTCACAGTCAGGTGAGTGGGCAGTGTGAGGAGGTGAGTGCTCAGTCAGGCGAGTGGGCAGTGTGAGGAGGTGAGTGCTCAGTCAGGCGAGTGGGCAGTGTGAGGAGGTGAGTGCTCAGTCAGGCGAGTGGGCAGTGTGAGGAGGTGAGTGCTCAGTCAGGCGAGTGGGCAGTGTGAGGAGGTGAGTGCTCAGTCAGGCGAGTGGGCAGTGTGAGGAGGTGAGTGCTCAGTCAGGCGAGTGGGCAGTGTGAGGAGGTGAGTGCTCAGTCAGGCGAGTGGGCAGTGTGAGGAGGTGAGTGCTCAGTCAGGCGAGTGGGCAGTGTGAGGAGGTGAGTGCTCAGTCAGGCGAGTGGGCAGTGTGAGGAGGTGAGTGCTCAGTCAGGCGAGTGGGCAGTGTGAGGAGGTGAGTGCTCAGTCAGGCGAGTGGGCAGTGTGAGGAGGTGAGTGCTCAGTCAGGCGAGTGGGCAGTGTGAGGAGGTGAGTGCTCAGTCAGGCGAGTGGGCAGTGTGAGGAGGTGAGTGCTCAGTCAGGCGAGTGGGCAGTGTGAGGAGGTGAGTGCTCAGTCAGGCGAGTGGGCAGTGTGAGGAGGTGAGTGCTCAGTCAGGCGAGTGGGCAGTGTGAGGAGGTGAGTGCTCAGTCAGGCGAGTGGGCAGTGTGAGGAGGTGAGTGCTCAGTCAGGCGAGTGGGCAGTGTGAGGAGGTGAGTGCTCAGTCAGGCGAGTGGGCAGTGTGAGGAGGTGAGTGCTCAGTCAGGCGAGTGGGCAGTGTGAGGAGGTGAGTGCTCAGTCAGGCGAGTGGGCAGTGTGAGGAGGTGAGTGCTCAGTCAGGCGAGTGGGCAGTGTGAGGAGGTGAGTGCTCAGTCAGGCGAGTGGGCAGTGTGAGGAGGTGAGTGCTCAGTCAGGCGAGTGGGCAGTGTGAGGAGGTGAGTGCTCAGTCAGGCGAGTGGGCAGTGTGAGGAGGTGAGTGCTCAGTCAGGCGAGTGGGCAGTGTGAGGAGGTGAGTGCTCAGTCAGGCGAGTGGGCAGTGTGAGGAGGTGAGTGCTCAGTCAGGCGAGTGGGCAGTGTGAGGAGGTGAGTGCTCAGTCAGGCGAGTGGGCAGTGTGAGGAGGTGAGTGCTCAGTCAGGCGAGTGGGCAGTGTGAGGAGGTGAGTGCTCAGTCAGGCGAGTGGGCAGTGTGAGGAGGTGAGTGCTCAGTCAGGCGAGTGGGCAGTGTGAGGAGGTGAGTGCTCAGTCAGGCGAGTGGGCAGTGTGAGGAGGTGAGTGCTCAGTCAGGCGAGTGGGCAGTGTGAGGAGGTGAGTGCTCAGTCAGGCGAGTGGGCAGTGTGAGGAGGTGAGTGCTCAGTCAGGCGAGTGGGCAGTGTGAGGAGGTGAGTGCTCAGTCAGGCGAGTGGGCAGTGTGAGGAGGCAAGAGCTCAGTCAGGTGAGTGGGCAGTGTGAGGAGGAGAGTGCTCACAGTGAAGTAAGTGGGCAGTGTGAGGAGGTGAGTGCCCAGTCAGGTGAGTGGGCAGTGTGAGGAGGCGAGTGCTCAGTCAGGTGAGTGGGCAGTGATAAGAGGCGAGTGCTCAGTCAGTGAGCAGTGTTAGGAGGCGAGTCAGTAGCAGGGCCCTATGGAGGCCTCTCCCACAACCCTGACTCCTGGGGAGCAGGAGGACCCACTGGAGAGGAGGAATCCTGGTCCTGTGACCTGGGTGGACATTACTCCCGAGGGCCTTGGGTCATCTCAGCCCTGGGCCAATGGAGGGCCCCTGCTCTGAAGCTGGCACTCCACACACCAGGCCGAACTGGGGTGACCTGAATAAGAACCTGGGAAGAACATTGCCATTCCTGGTCCCGCCTCTTCTCACCCACTGCCCCGATATGCCGTGGTCCACTGTGATGCCAAGCTCTTCCCTGCCCACAATGCCCTGCACAGGCTTCTCCCTCCACCCGCGAGTCCTCTCCCACTGCCCTGTACGGAGAGACCTGATGACCCCGACTCTGCTCAGCCAGCAAATCTGTGGGTACATCTTCACATCTGTTCTTCTAGGGACCCTTCCGGCACGGGCCTACCACACCACACGTGGCCCATCAAAGGAATCTGCTTGTTTGTCCACACTTACAGCCACACCTAAACTTCCTGGGCCTTTTGGCCAGCCATGGCAGATAGCTGTTCTACACAGAGCCACAGATGCCAGGCTAAGCTGGACAAGAACTGAGCCTAAGCTCAGGGGCTTCAAGGCTTTGAGGCACCCAGGCTGGTTCCACGGGCATCCGCAGCTCACCAACAGGTGCTGCCACTGGCTCTGAGAAACTCCGTGGCCTTCCAAAAAATTCTTTTTCCTTCGGTCATTCTGAAGTTGGTTTCTATTCTCGGCAGCTGTAGGAGCGCCACCGAGAGGGACACGTGCCTAGGCCTTGGCGAGCCTCCTGGGTGAGGAGCAGCTGTGAGGGTCTGACGTGGAGCCTCCTGCAAACAGCCCAGGAGTGGCCGGCCCCGGCCCGCCCTGCCAGACCTCGGTGCCCGTGAGAGGAAGAGCCAGCACGTCCTCCTAGCAGGCCTCATCTGTTGTCCTTTTAATTGAAGCAGTGGCTGGTCGTAGTTACTAATTAATAACATCACCCATATTACTGTAAGTCCACCTCTTTCCCGGAGAAATCTTCTCGGGGACTTTATTTACAGTAGCTAATTTTTCAGATCTCCCAAAATAAACTGATATATGTTGTACATTTGTGGCCAGCAAAGTTGAGCTGCTGATATTTTATCCTGGAAACATGATTATGATATACTAATTGTGGTCATAAATCCTATATTGAAAAAATTAGTTAATAATTTCTGAAAACACTCACTTTCAGTCACTTGACAAATATAGCTTGATTCTAAATTGTGGTGCTAAAAGTTAGAATTCTCTACTGGAAACGAGTCACTCTGTTCACACAGACATGACTGGTTTCTGGTAAGGGAGGGCGCCTTCCATAAACGGTGCCCCTGTATGTATGTATGTATGTATGTATGTATGTATGTGTGAATACGTGCGTGTTCTTCAAGGAGCCATCCGAACACGAGTCTCGCTGGTGACGTCACCCTGGAGGAGTAACACGGGTACCTCTGCTGGCAGTGCGTGACCCAGCAGAGCCATCTATGAAGGACACGGCTATGAAGGGCAAACACAGACACCCCCTCCAGGAGGCCTCACTGCTGACACCTGGCCAGACAGTCACCAGGCCCTGGGGCTGGAAAGGACCAGAAGGTCTTAGGGAGGTTCACAGACTTGACGCTTCGGGGTTCACTGACCACTCGGATAAGTGATCTCACTGACTGTCTACACCACCTGCTCCTGCTCATCACTGACAAAACAAAACTGAACGAAATCTCAGGATACTGGAGCGTGTTTCGCCTGGACGACTGAGACACCACTAAAACAACTTCCTGCACTTTAGGTAGAGCCAAATCTGGTTGTGACACGTGTGGGACAGTGTGCACAGGGTTGGCAGCCTGGGGGGAGGCCTGGTCGCTGCCCCTCGGCGCTGCGGAGCCTGTGGGGCACGTCACCTGTGGGCTCACAGAGGGGGCCTGCGGGCCATCTGCACAAAGTCACGCCAAAAACAAAAAAGGAACTGTCCTAATCAAGTCTTCTGAAAGCTGCGTTTTGGGACCAGGTGACCCCAAACACCTTGCCCTATTCAGGAGCCATGCGTGTCCCTGGCCTGTCCTGAGGAAGAGTGAGTCAGACGGGGACGATGAAGAGGTCCATCTCCCGTCTCTCGCAAGCCTCTGAGGTGTTGGCCCTTCCAGGGAGAGCACTCGCACCCCAAGAGAAAACAGCGCGGCACCCGTTCGCTGGGCGCTTGTGTTTGTGATAACAGGGACAGAGGTGCCGACATCAGCACCTGGCCAAGGCCCGTGGGCAGTCACAGCCGAGAGCCCCGCCTGCTCTTCACGGGAGTCGGAGCATGAACCCTGCGCTGTACACTCAGGTTCAGACGGCTGCTGGGTTCTCCCCCATGCTGGGCCATGTTCCACTGCCTCCCTGGGGGTGCCTGCACCTCCTCCAGGCTGCCTGGAGTGCACCTGTACTCAGCCAGGCTCCGCTGGGGCTCAGGCTGGGGCAGGGTAAAAACAGACAGCACCTCCCGTCTGACGAGCATCCGAGGCGATGAAGAGCATGGGGACCTGAGTCATCCTAGACGGAACAGTTAGGGGGTACAGGTGGGGGTGGAGAAGGCAGGGCACAGATATGGCATAGACAATTTTTTGGAAACTAAGGCACGACAAAGCTTGAGGTGCAGAGGGAAAAACCATGAGCTGGTCCAGGACAAAATCCCAGCCCTGCCATGTCCCAGTGGTGGGACCCTGAAAGGCCCTGCCCCTCTGGGAGCCCAGGCTTGCCCAGCTCTGAAGGAGACCGCACTGCCAACCAGCTCATGTATGTAAGGGGGGACTTCCAAAAGTGCATGAAAAAAAAAAGGATTATTATTTTGGTGCAAAGAAATTCAAACATTTCAATTCATTTGCCACGAACTTTTAGGAAGATCCCTTTATATCGTGTGTCCCTGCCTATGGGGCTCAGGAGAGGGGCTGGTGCTAGTCCTCACCGTTGCCACTGCCACTGGGAGGCACAACGCTCCTTGTGTAGGCGGTT